GGGTTATGATAATTTGTTGGTGGCGTATCAGTTGCCCCCCTATTTTCGGGCGATTTTAATTTCTTCGTCCGAAAATATCAAGATGTATAAACTTTTCATTTTATAAGTCATAAAAAAGTATAAATAATTTATTATCATTTGTATGCATATAAGACTATTGTTTATCCTTTATAAATAAAGAAGTAGAGCATAGCTCAGTTGATGAGTGTCTTTTGTCATTCATAAGTGGTGGGGGTTCAAATCCCACCAAAAACAAAAATAAATATCTATTTTACCAGCTCAAAACCTGACCCGTGGATTCAGAACCTGCGACCCATACGTGACCCAGCCGGTCATGCGAGACCCGACGGGCCAAGAGAAGAATTTGAAGCGGGTCACGGAGGATTAATTAAAGCAGGAATTTGAATGGTTGAAGAATTTGAACAAAATAATTCATGCAGATTTTTAAAATTAAAATGGTAGAATTTGAAAAGTCAAATTAAATGGAAAATGAAATGAAAAGTTTTATTTTTTATTTTTATAATTTGAGTCATAAAAGCAGAATTTGAAAAGACAAAGGAATATGAAATGAAAAGTTTTATTTTTTTAATTTTTTATAATTTGAGCCATAAAAGCAGAATTTGAAAGGTTAAAAACTGATGAAATATGAAATGAAAAGTTTTTTCTTTAATTGTTATTATTATTTTTTTTATTATTTTTTTATTTAATGTGTATTTAATGTTATGTCTCATATCATGCCTATAAATAGAGGCATTGGATGAGAGGAAAAATCACAAGTGAGGAGGAGAAGAAAAATCTAGCGTTGCGGAGAGTAGTTGCGGCGGAGCAAAGTGTTGTGGAAAAGAGTTGCGGCGAAGCAGAATAGTTGCGGCGGCAAGGCGGAAAGTTGTGACGAAACGAAGAGTTGCGGCGACAAAGAGTTGCGGTGCAGATTTGCGGCGAAGATTTACAGCGAAGAGTTGCAGCAAAGTGTTGCTGTGCAGATTTGCGGCGAAGTGTTGCGGTGCAGATTTGCGGCGAAGTCTTGCGACGAAGATTTGCGGCGAAGAGTTGCGGCAAAGTGTTGCGGTGCAGATTTGCGGCGAAGAGGAAAGTCGTCCCCGTCCTGCGTAGCAGGCAAGCAACGGGATCTTCTTTCTCGTTGCGGCGAAGAGGAAAGTCGCCTCGGTCCTGCGTAGCAGGCAAGCAACGGGATCTTCTTTCTCGTTGCGGCAAAGAG